GCTGTTTGATATTTTTTTTTTCCCCAAAAAAAAAAAATTGTAGAAGAAAACAGTCCCTCTTTATTTCTCGGTAGTAGCTTACCTGTTTAATGCTCTCCTGTAGGTAGTCCTGCTCTTCCACTGCATCGCACACCGATGACTCCATCTGTCCTTGGGTGATTTCAAACACTTTCCGTGTTGTGCGGATCTGTACAAAGAAGTCAGGTCATGTGACACGTTCTAGCAAAGTACTGCCTAAGGTAGCAGAGTGCAGAATTTCCCATCTAAAAAGAAAAGTTCCCTCCGAAATCTCACCTCTTCCTTCAAAGACTTCTCGCTTTTTAAACTATCTTCCAGAGCTTTGATTTTCTCATTCAGTTCAGAGAGCTGAAAAATATTTTTTTAGAGATTTGTTAATCTTTTTTTGGCACTGACAGAGACAGACAGTCTATGTTCCTCCATTCTCAGTGATGTCACCGGTCTCTAGTTATTGGATAGGCTGCATTCTCAGTGATGTCACCGGTCTCTAGTTATTGGATAGGCTGCATTCTCAGTGATGTCACCGGTATCTAGTGAATGGATAGGCTGCATTCTCAGTGATGTCACTGGTCTCTAGCGATTGGATAGGCTGCATTCTCAGTGATGTCACCGGTATCTAGTGAAGGGATAGGCTGCATTCTCAGTGATGTCACCGGTCACTAGTGAATGGATAGGCTGCATTCTCAGTGATGTCACCGCTTTCTAGTGAATGGATAGGCTGCATTCTATGTGATGTCACCGGTCTCTAGTTATTGGATAGGCTGCTTTCTTATGGATATGTTACCGTATTGTCCAGCTCTGACCCCCGCTCTCTCTCTCCATCTAGCTCCTGCTCCAGTCTGGTAATATTCTCCTCCAGTTCTCGGTTAGATGTCTGTAGTGTCTCCTGTAAAGCCTATTGATAGGAAATCCATGCATTACCGCAATCATCAGCACAGTGGTGATAACAAAAGTTAAAGTGTATCTAAACCCCCCCCAAAAAAAAAAAAAAAAAAAAAAAAAAAAAACTTTAAAAAACACACCTACGATGCGGGGTTTTTCG